TGTTCTCCTCAATTCCTGTTTTTTCTTGCCTTTGACCTCATTTTCTGATCTAAGCCCATGCATACCTAGATGCTGCCATAAGCCAATCTTCTGACCTTGAGGAAGCTATGCTGTCTTTCTGAACATTCCCACGGTAGATAAAGAGGAGCAAATTACAGAGTAAGACACTAATATAAGAAATAATTGCTCACTGGCTTTCCTACCAGCTCCCAATGCCTTGACCCGTGACTTTCAGATATTTATCAATTGAAGTAAATTCTAAATTTGGACCATGATTCTCCATCTCTGAGTCTTCCCCCTATTTTTTTTTAAAGAACTATTTATTTATTATCATTATTTTTCGATTTTGACCAGAGAGACAGAGAAACAGAAAGAGAAAGAAAGAGAGCAAGCTGTCAGGTCTGGGACTCAAACTGTAGTCAGTCATGTGGGAGTCCAGCACCCCAACCACCACGCCACCTGCCGCCCCTCTTCCCCTATTTTTACTTCACTGATACAGCAGGGAAGACTCAGTGCTTTGAGTCCAGATAGACCCATTGTCAAATCCTGGCTTTGCCTCTTAATTATTGTGTGCACTTGAGCAAGTTACTTAATCTCTCTGTGCTTCTAATCCGTTCTTTATAATACCCACCCTACTGGTTTGTTGTGTGGATTAAATGTGATGCATTAATGTAAAGCATTTAGGAAAGTCTGGCAAGGCACAGGCTGTCAGTAAATATTAGTTTATTTTCTCTGATATGATCTGAGGTGGATAAGAACTCTGTCTTAATTATCTCTAAAATTCCTCTTCAGTTTGTCAGGGTTTTTTTGTTTGTTCGTTTTTTTGTTTTTAAGAGAGATTTTTGCTATAGGGCACATGCACTCGCCGGAGAGACAGAGAGAAACAGAGAGACAGAAAGTGAGAAATCACCCCCCAGAGGGGATGGTCACGCCGCAATCCCTTCTCCTCCATTCTCCTCTTGGGATTCTGGGCATGCATGCACAGGCATCTGGCTTGAGTTTTAAGCTGCCTGATCCAGAACTTGAACCGTGGTTGACTAAGTGGAAGTCCAATGACTTAACCATTAAGCCATCTACTGGACCCTCTTAATTTGATTTGAGACATATAGAAAGTCAGGATAGTATCATGGAAAAAACTTTATATTTTGGAGATCTAAATTTTAATTCTTCCTCCATTACTTAAGTGGCTGAGGGGAAGTCACCCATCTGGCTGAATCTATGTATTCATTCTTTTATTTATTTTTTTTCCTTTTGTTATAGGGCACATGCACTCTCAAGAGATGGAGAGAAAGAAAGTGAGAAATCACTCCCCCTGGGGCAGAGCCATACTGCAATCCCTTCTCCTCCATTCCCCTCTCAGGGTTTTGGGCACACATGTACACATGCCTAGTGTGAGTTTCAAGCCACGGGGGTCTGGGACTTGAACAGGAAACTTGGCCATGTGGGAGTCCAGCACTGTAACCAGTACACCACCTGCTGGTCCCCTTATCTATTCATTTTTTTTAAGAATTATTTTTTATTTAAGGAACAGAAAGAGACAGTGAGAAAGAAGGAAAGTGTGAAAGCAAGCTGCCAGGTCCTGGACTCTAACCGTGGTCAGCCACTTGGAAGTCTAGCCACCTTAACCACCATGCCATCGCCGGCCCCTTTATTCTTAAAAAGTAAATAACAAGGGAACCAGCAGTTAGCGTAATGGCTATGTCGCTGGACTCCCATGCAGTCGACCACGGTTCACGTCCCGGACCCGGTGGCTTAAAACTCACGCCGAGCACGTGTGCGTGCGTGCCCAAGATCCCGAGAGGAGAATGGAGGAGAAGGGATTGTGGCGTGACCATCTCCCTGGGGGGGGTGATTTCTCGCTTTCTGTCTCTCTGTCTCTGTCTGTCTGGCGAGCACATGTGCCCTATAGCGAAAACCTCTCAAAAAAAAAAAAAAGAAAGGAAATAACAAGGTCAGTCTGAAACAGCAGTGGTGAGAAGCACTGAGGCAGTGTTTGGAAGGTTCTGAAGGACAGCAGGGAGTCAATGTGAGTCAGTATGCTTCGTCGATAAGCACTAGAAAGTCTGGACAAGCTATAAAAACTTGAAAAAGTAAGATCCAGGAGCCAGTCCATGGTGTGGGGGTTAAAGTGACTGGAGTCCAGTGGCCAACTGCGTGGTTCGAGCCCTGGAGCCTGTGGGTTGAGAAACATGCTGTGTGCTTATGTGCGTGTGCCCAAAATCCGCAAAGGAGAAAGAAATGGAGAGAAAGAGATTGCAGTGTGACCATCCCCCATAGGGAGTGCTTTCTCACTTTCCCTCCTCCCCTCCCTCTCTCTATCTCTCTCTACCCTCAGGCACATTTTTTTTTAAAAAAAGAAAGAAAATAAAAAATAAGATCCAATGTGTAACTATTCTACCTTCATGGATTTGCCTTCTAGGAAGCATGCATTCCATTCAAAAACTATCACGGGAAAACTAGATTCTAGACTTTCATGGTTGAAAAGAGCCATTAAGAGCATTCATTCACTTCCTGGAAGGTCCTCCAACATCTGGTTAACAGAGACTAGGAGCAGGTCTCAGGTATACGTCTCACACATTGACTCTGCTCCAGGATTTAAAAGACCTAAGAACTATTTAGCAAAGTTTCTCAAACTTTAAAAAATCTACATTGTCATATCACTCTGGGGGAAAACGTAAAGATAAGTCACCATTATTAAATAACAAAAAGGGTTTAGTTTTGAATTTGTTTCATATCAATATGAACAACATTATCATAATAATCTTTTACCAGAATATCTACAGGGAAGGGCATCTTGCTTGGTTATTTACTTTTTGTTAAGGATTATTTTTATGTATGTATGTATGTATGTATTATTTTTTAATTTGACCAGAAAGAGCCAGAGAGAGAAAAAGAGGGAAAGTGAGAAAACAAGTCATCGGATCCAGGACTCAAACCGTGGTCAGTTATGTGGAAGGCCAGTGCCTTAACCACCATACCACCTGCTGGCCCCTGGTTATTAACTTTTAATGGTAAATGAAGGGCTGGCTCTGTGGCTGACTGATCCCACTTGGCTTCAAAAACAGCCAGGTACATGTGAGTGTCCAGAAATCCCAACAGGATGGAGAACTAGAGAAGGGATTATGGCATGACTCTACCCCATTGACAGTTGCTTTCTCCTCTCCATCTGTGCCTGTCTCTCTATCTCTCTGGCAAGCACACTCATTCTCTGGTAAGATTTTTGAATAAATGAATGTAAAGTGAAAACTATGGAAGGGCAAAACCTTCAAAAGTCTCTTAAAACATTCCATGTAATTCTATAAGCGAATCTTTTTTAGAAATTATTCCCTTCAAGTATTTGGCTTCTTGGAACACTTAAAGTCCAAGAATTCAACTTGCTTGCTCTTTTTGCACATGGTCATCTTCCTGTTTGTTAGTTATGGTACACTGCACACATACCAAGACCAAAAGCACACTGGATTTACTTTTGTCATTCCCATTCTTTCTCTTTTCATCTTTTTTTTTTTTTTTTTTTTTTGTCATTCCCATTTTTTTTTTTTTCTTTTTTTTTTTTTTTTTTTTCTGAGAGAGATTTTTGCTATAGGATGCGAGTGCCTGCCAGAGAGACAGAAAGCGAGAAATCACCCCCTAGAGGGGGATGGCCATGCCACAATCCCTTCTCTTCCATTCTCCTCTTAGGATTTTGGGCAAGCAAGCACACACACCCAACGTGAATTTCAAGCCACCAGGTCTGGGACTCAAATCATGGTGGGCCATATGGGAGTCCAACATTAACCCTTATGCCACCTGCTGGCCCCTGGCATTCCCATTCTAAAGCAACTACCTGTTAGCACAACAAACTGCATCTCCACACTGTATGACTGAGGTGTCATGTCAAAGGTGAAATTAACAGAGAAACATTTATACCAGCATAACAACTATTACAGCTTTGCAGCTTTGCAGCTGGTGCTGAAAAGTTCTTGCAATTGCTTGGCTCGTGCAAATGGTGCCACTTCAAGTGACACCTCTGTGGATGTGGTCTTTTCTCTGTCCTCGGGGACCAAATCCATCAGTTACAAAAGGAAACTCTTTTCTGTACCTTTTCTGGAAAAATGTATTTGTTTTCCTAAGAAGTCACTTTGCTTTGTCTGGAAATCATATACTTTTTAATGGCTTTATGTCATTATTGGAAGTTTAAAAAAGACAACAAATGGGAGACTTAGAAAGAATGTCTCAACAGTTAAAACCCATATTTTTTACATCCATTATATTTACTGAATTTTCTTTCGGCTGCTTATTCAGAAAAATTTCTTTCAGACTTACGCTGTTCTAGCCCAAAGAGACTCATATTCTTTTCCTGCTCTAGAATCTTGTTCCCTATAGATTAACTATTTTCATCTCTTCTTTTATATTTTCGCAAATCATGTTCAAGTCTCTAATCCTTTTGTTTGTGAACTGGGATATAGTGCATAAAACCAGATAGTAAAAATGGAAAAGGTAAATAATATTTAATATAAAAAAGTCATAGCCAAGGCAGATTGTCATACCATTTACTTAGTGTTAGCCTACAGAAACGTATCAAATGTGTTCCTATAACCTTTAAGGATGTAGTAATTATTCAGAATATTATAAAGCAGCATTGTGAATAGTTAAGACTCTGGGCTCTGGAGCCAGACAGCCTCAATTCAAAACCAGGTTCCGTCACTTACCAGCAGACGACCTTGGGCAAACCCCTTGTGTCTGGATTTATCATGAAATACTAGTACCCAATTCTTAGGGTTGTGTGAGAACTGAATTAATTAATACGAGTATTAGAATGATGCTCAGTGCAGACAGCGCTAGAGCATGCTAGCATTGTAGCTGTAATGGGGTTTCTGTGAAAACTAACTCGTGTTCTATTTCCAGTTTGTGTGCTTTCTGTCAGCCACAGCATCTGTGTCTAAAAGCCATCAACCAGCGCTGGTTGTGGACCCCACTTGGAAACAATATTTTTGCCAAAACACATTTAATTATTTACTTACCACTGCTCGGGACACAGGTTGCCAAATCGATCGACGACGTCTTGCTAAATAACGAATTTGTAACACTGCACTGTATAGTCTCTAAAGGAGCATTTTCCATGTTAAAATGCATGTGGGTTGCTGAGTTACTTTTACATTGCTCTGCAGAGCAATTCCATGAGTACTTTATAAGTTCTGGATGGCTAATGTTATGTCCCGGTACTTCACACTGCACTGTAATGTTTTCACCAGTTGTAGTACAATTTAGTGTTGGAGATGAAGGCGGCTCTGGAAAAAAAAAAAAAGTGTAATATTTAGTACAGAAAAGAGTATTATTTAGATTCGTGATCTGTAAACTTCAGAAGAACGCCCAACATCTGCCTGAACTTGAAAAGATGAGAGACCACTTCAAGCATCAAAAGGAGAGCATCAATTTGAGCATCAACACTTTTTGACTGGTCAGGTCTATTGGACTTGTTCAAATTGAACAGAACAAATTCAGGCTGCAACTTTAAAACCAAAAAAGCTCTGAAAGCCAAAGGATTTGTATTTTTTAAGAGAGAGATTTTTGTTATAGGGCACATGAGCTCGCCAGAGAGACAGAAAGCGAGAAATCACCCCCTGGGGTGCAATTCTTCTCCTCTTGGGATTTTGGGTGCACGTGCACCCAGTGTGAATTTTAAGCCACCAGGTCTGGGATTCGAACCACGGTCAACTATATGGAAGTCCAGTGACATAATCATTATGCCATCTGCTGGTCCCAAAGCCAAATGATTTTTGGGGGGGAGGGAGAGGTTTTTGCTATAGGGCATGTGCACTCGCCAGAAAGACAGAGACAGAAAGATATCAAGCAAAAAATTACCCCCCAGGGAGGATGGCCATGCCACAATCCCTTCTCCTCCATTCTCCTCTCAGGATCTTGAGCACGCATGCACACGTGCCAGGTGTGAGTTTAAGCCACTTGGTCTGGGACTCAAACCACGGTTGACTACATGGAAGTCCAGCGACATAGCCATTACACCAACTGCTGGTCCCAAGCCAAATGATTTTTCACAAGTTGATGACAAAGTCATTTAGCTGCAAATCCTGATCTGAATTGACATAAGGATTTATAATCTTATTTTTCTCACTTCAAATATTCATTATCATGTTTCACTCCAAAAATATTACTGGGCTTGACCATATAGTGCTCTCCATAACTAAGTGGGACGCTTAATATGCAGAGAGAATGGGCCAGAGGGTAGCATGGTGGTTGAGGGGCAGGACTCCCAGATAGCCAACCACGGTTCAACCCCTAGACCTAGCAGCTTGCTTTTGCTCTTTCTTGTCTCTCTGCTGAACACATGTGCCCTATAGCAAATAAAAATAATAATAATAAATTAGCAAATTAAAAATATATATAGTAGCAAGGAAATACTTTGTATCACCTTTCTAAAATGTAAACAAACAAAAATTAATTCTGAAACACAGCTGACTCAAAGGTTTTGCAATAGGCACCCCAGCCCATGGGTTAGAGTGGCTGGGGGGAGGCCCACACACGTGGGTCTAAAGGTTGGCTCCCCTCCCTTCCCTCAAAGCCCCTCCTGCTGGCTAAGTAGCCTGGACCTGCAAAGACAGGTTCAGATCCTCACATGCCGCATTACGCCATTGCTGTCCTCTAAAACCTCAGTGCCAGGTGGTCCTATTAGTCACGTACTTGTTAATCCACATGCCTTTCTGCATCTTGACTTTCCTCCAGCAACTAATCACAAAAGACTTGAGAAAATATGCAAAATGTACATAATCTACAACAATGATCATGGCAGCACATGGATAATAAAATTTTGATAGGGCTAGCTCATGGCATGGTGGTTAAAGCAGTTGGATTTCACGTGGCTAAATGTGGGGTTCAAGTCCGACCATGTGGGCATGTGCGCCCCAAATCCCAAAAGAAGGGAAAGATGGAGGAGAAGGGATTGCGGCATGGCTGTTCTCCATGAGGGGTACTTTCTCACTCTCTCTCTCTGCCTCTCTCCTATAGCACATACATCTTCTGGCAAGAAAAAAAAAATGATACATTATAAATATCTACAATAAAAGGCATTAAAGTACATTAAGATTCACCAAGATGGTACCAGCAGATGACATAATGGGTATGTCACTGGACTCTTACATGGCTGACCACAGTTCGAGTCCCAGACCTGTCAGCTCCAAACTCATGCCAGGTGTGTGTGTGTGTGTTTGTGTGTGTGTGTGTGTGCGTGCGTGCCCCAAATCCTGAGAAAAAAATAGAGGAGAAGATATTGTGGCATGGCCATCCCCCCACCCCAGGAAATGATTTCTCACTTTCTGTCTCTTTCTGGTCAGTGCACACACCCTATAGCAAAAATCTCTCTCTAAAAAATTAAAAATTAAAAAAAACTGACCAGGACCAGCAGATGGCATAATGGTTACATCGCAGGACTCCCACGTAGTCGACCATGGTTCAATTCCCGAACCAGGTGGCTTAAACTCATGCTGAGTATGTGTGCGTGCGTGCCCAAGATCCTGAGAGGAGAATGGAGGAGAAGGGATTGCGGCGTGTCCATCCCCCTTGGGGTGATTTCTCATTTTCTGTCTCTCTGTCTCTCTCTGTCTTTCTGGCAAGCGTGCATGCCCTATAGCAAAAAACCTTTCCCCCCCCAAAAAAATTTGACCAAGATAATGAAATACTATGCTGTCATCTAAAATGATATTATGTAAAATAAATAAATGTTTATACTCCAGCTAATAATCTAAAACATAAGAAGGAACCAGCAGTTGGTGTAATGGCTATGTCACTGGACTCCCATGTAGTTGACTGCGGTTGGAGTCCTGGACCAGGTGGCTTAAACTCATGCTGCGTGCGTGCGCATGTGTGCCCAAGATCCCAAGAAGAGAATAGAGGAGAAGGGAATGTAGCATGGCCATCCCGCCTGGGGGTGATTTCTTGCTTTCTATCTCTCTGTCTCTGTCTATAGCAAAAATCCCTCAAAAAAAATTTTCATCTCCACCCATCTCCTGAATTCCTTCTGGCACATTTAGATAAAGTAGCCAGCCTGCCTTGTTAGAGACCAAACCCACACACTGCCTTCCTTTCCTACTTAGGGCTTTCTCAGTTTGGGGGTTTAATCTAGCTCTTATAACTCTTACACGCTGCCTTCAAATTTTCTTTAATTAAAAGCACGCACACACACACACACACATATTTAAATTTGCTACAGGGTGCCTGTACTCAGCAGAGATAAAGAGAGATAGAAAAAGAGAGAGAGAGAAAGAGAGTGAGAGAGATAAAGAGACAGAGTGAAGAAAAGTGAGAAAGCACCGCTCGTGGGGAATGGCCGTGCCACAATCCCTTCTCCTCCATTTCTACTTTCTGGATTTGGGGAAGGCACACACATACTCCTGGTATATTTTTCAAGCTGCCAGGTCTGGGATCGGAAGTGCACAGTCAGCTCTGTGGATCCAGCCACTCCAATCACCATTCCACCACTGGCCCTCCTTTCATAATTCTCTAAGTCATGGAGATCTTTCTCAAAATTAAATCTGACCAATATATTGGATTAGCAGTTGCTCTAGCTGACTCAGCATTGGAAAGCCTAGAGTCCTGCTCCTTAGCCTCTTCGGGTCCCTCTTGCCCGCCCCACCCCCACAGCAGCAGTTCCCAGGGGATTTCCAGGGAACCCCCACTGTTCCCAGAACTGTTCAGAAATGGCTGTTCTCAGTACTACATGTACGCATGCCTGCCTCTGCAACAAGTGGTGAGCACACATGCCTTAAGGCAAACACGTCTGTTAAAAAAAAAAGTAAATTATTCAACCAGTTCATCTCCAAAAAGGAATGGTATGATGTTTAAGAGCACAGACTTGGAGCTTGACAACCTGTATCAGATCCCAGCTCCATGTCCAAGCACCACTTGGAGTCTGGATGGTGGTGCAGCAGTAAATCGTGATGTCCCGTGAGCCTGACCCACGTGGAAAGGGTCCTGGTTCATGCCCAGAAACTTCCTGAGAACACTGGGCACATGTATGACTATGGCCTGGGGGAGCTGGGGATTGACTGCAGCAAGAAGACCCTGACGGGGACACTGTCTGCCTGTGTCTCTCTCTCATTCACAGAAGAAATAATAAACTTAAAAAAAGTAAATCTTCGGCAAGTTACTCATCCTCCTGTATCTAGGCTTCCTCCTCTCTACAATGAGCAGACCGACTATACTCACCCCGTTGGATCATGATGAGAATGAGTATATGAATTAGCAAGCCGCCCATGGGAACAAATGGCAGCTGTCACAGAGCACAAGGCTCCTGGCTGAGTGCTCAGCTCCAGGAAGCCAAAGCTCCCCACAGGGTGTGTAATGAGGTAAGGGTTACTCGCTGGGAGGTGGGCCTTTCAGCTTAGTGCTGGCTTATTCTGTGAGTTTGGGCCACAGTTCTTTCAGAAGCTGGAAAACTTGTCAGATATAATCCAGTAGGGGCCAGCAAGTGGCATGTTGGTTGCACTAGACTCCCACATGGCTGACTGTGGTTCAAGTCCTAGACCTGGCGGCTTGCTTTTTCACTTTTGCGCTCTTTGTCTTGCTCTCTGGTGAATGCACATGCCTTATAGCAAATTAAAAAATAATAATAACAGGACCAACAGATGGCGTAATGGTTACGTTGCTGGACTCCCATGTAATTGACTGCTGTTTGAGTCCCAGACCTGGCGGCTTAAGAAACTTATGCCAGGCACGTGTGCATGCATACCCAAAATCCCAAAAGAAGAATGGAGGAGAAGGGATTGTGCCATGGCCATCCCCACTGGGGGATGACGTCTCGCTTTCTGTCTGTCTCTGTCTCTCCGGCAAGTGCATGTGCCCTATAGCAAAAATCTCTCTAAAAAATAATAACAATAAAATAATTATTCATAAAAAAGAAGAAAGAACTCATCTAGTCTGGGCATCTTATTCTACATATGGAGAAACCCACTCTTGAATCTGTCTCATTTCCATCTGTAAAATGGTGTGCTTTTTAAGGTCATGGCCAAGGGCACACGGAATGTGGAAACTACAGGAAACGTGCAGCTGTGTGGGCACTGTCTTCTATGTCGTAAGGACCCTCCACCACACAGGAGCTCCTTCTGGGCGTCTGACCACGCTATAGCCAGAGAGCAAAGCAGAAGTGCTGACGACCAGAAAGAGCATGCAAACCTTTCTGCAGCGTCCAGATCAGAGTTCCTACACCTCAGAGCTGTTCCTTCTAGAAACTTCTGTATTCTTTCACTACTCATGGGACTTACCTCAGCTACAGATACCT